GGGCTTCTCTCATGCTCTCATTCATCTCTTCGCTTGACTCTTTCCTCCAAGCTAAAACTCGTGTTTACGGTAAATGCAAGTTCTCCACATGGTCACATCTGGAGGCTCAACTGAAGTCCGACCTTTGCACCCGGGAATTGTGGGAAGTCACGCTAAACTCTTGAGATTGAAACCGGCAACCTGCAACGTTCACATTCACTGACCTCAAGACTCAATAGTAGTTGTTTTTTTCCCATTTGTAAAGACAATGACAAGTGAACTGCTGAATATAAAAGAAGAGAAAATGAAATAATTTAACCACGAATTTGGAACCATCCCCACCTAAAGTGATTCCGAGACTTTTTTTAAGTTCCTGAAGAAGACGGTAGTTGGATGTTAAAACTAGTACAGGTAAACTGAAAAAAATATATATTAAAAGAAAAATAAAACTATTGAAGATAGATGAATATAAACTCATTTTAAAGAAAGGATTTTTTTTTTTCTTTTTTGACCCTTTTGGGGACAGCGGTTACTACAGTGGACATCTTATCGTGTTCATCAGGTTACAGGGCGCATGCAAGGGTTAAAAAAGTGACAGTAAAATCGAGTAATACAAATCTGAGCATTAAGGGGAGTTCATTGCATTTATACATTCCGTCACAGGATTGTTTTTTTCCAACACCCTCTATGAAGAGTATCAATGGTATTTTCCGAAATGTTGCATCTGTCTTGCAGGTGGTTTAACTTTTGTCAACTCGAGGACAAGTTTGCCTCTAAAATGGCTGCAGCAAACTCAAATGGCATACTTCTTGAATCTTTATGGGGATGGATTTTTGAGACTTTTTTGTTTTCTTTGTAGGTCTTGTCATGAAAAACATGATAAGCAAATTTCAGTTGAATAATTTAAGTTCGTGAGTGTTTAGGGACGGTTTAAAGAGTGACATGCTTGACATGAGTTAGCTGTAAGGTCCATGCAAGCTCATTTAAGTGCCCATTCTGCAGCAGTGAGTTATTTTTTGTGACGCGAGGAGTCTCATGCCAAACAGTTTTGTCCCAGTGGAGACTCCGTAACATCAAGGAATTCATACGCCTCTCGTGCATCAGTGCGTGTGTCTTGGAAAAATAGCATTCCGCCACTCTTTGCAAATGTTGGGTGAAATCACCACACAGCCAAAACCGCAGACTCCAGTCCACCATTCATCTTTATCACCATTTCCATCTTTGGGTTGACCCCCCCAACAGAGCACCTCGTGGGGCATCTGATCCCACCGCCATCCATCAACACGCCATCACCCCCCCCCGCCCCCGACCCCCCCACGCCAATTCAAAGATGACCTCTCCTCCAATCCTTCACATCAATCATCACTGCAGTGTGCCACAAATGGAGACAGCTAACTTTTTTGCTTCTTTCTATCGATCCCCCGCAAAAGGTTGGTTGCTCTCCAAGACGGGACTCTGGTATTAATCTGGCCCGATAGGTTGGAGAGCAAAGGCAGAATTTCCCCACCATGCGCCCCGTCCCGCCGTCTCGAAACCTCAGACCGCAGGGCTTCAACAAGAGGATTGAGAGGTAAATCCGATCACGCTGCCGTCGTTTGACATCCAAACCAGAAAGCCACCAGTGTGTCTCTTTTTTCATCTCCATCTTCCAGAATCCTGCTGGGTTTGTACTTCACCTTCCAGACCTTCCACAAATCCAACAAATGTTTCCTCGTTCAAAGTCAACCGGCGCGGTTGCGGTTTGAACTCTACGGCTTGCAATTCTCAACCCATCTTCTTCATTAGATAACAATCGCGGATCTTATTTATTTTGACTATTAGCCAAATGTGGAGCTTGTTTGACTGTCCAATCAGCAAAGCAGCGACTTTCATTTATGGTGTTCCCAGAGTTGCTTTGAAAACAACGAAATTAGATTGTAAGTTAGTTTACTGTTATTCGTTATATTCAAGAGATGTCGACAACCCCGCTGAACATCAAATTGACAACCAGTTTTGCCTCTATTTAATTGCGAATACATTTTTAATAGTAGCATTCAAGACTAAACTTTGCCGCCCTCGTGCCTTTTACTCATACTCTTAGTTTTGGTTTGCCAGAGAGAGTTTTGTTTCAAGGACTTTCACATGACGCTGTTTTGAACATTACCCCTAGCGACTCCTTTCAACCAATCAAATGGAGTTGGGCAGTCACATGACCGTACAGTCTCCAAAGCCCGACACATAACAAGCAAAGTTTTATTGACGTGAACCGTACATTGAAACGTCAACGTGCTGTCATCAAGGTCCGCCGAAAAAAGTCCGTATTTCAGCATCCAAGAACTCCACTTCCAACTTGAGCAAACACAAAGTGGCTTTCAATGCAATCTCTGCATGGTGAGCCTGATTGTGCTGTTTGACCTGAATTTGCACAGTTCTATTTTACATTTTTGTCAACAGTTACGCAGTCCAGGGCCCGGTGGTCCAGTGGTTAGTGCGCGTCTACCTCACAGTGCAGAGGATTAGTTCCAAACACAAAAACGCAAATCGGTGGGAGTTCACGGAAATCATCTCAGATTCCAAGCGGTCCTTTGGTACTGTGCTGGTACTCGGTTCCTAATAGCAGACTGTAAGAGACCCTTCCAATGCAACTGTTTTGCAGTGGTCGCAGAATTGTGGCTCAAAGACAAAAAACAACATTGGCCGGATAAAAGGCTCGGTCAAATGGCAGCGAAAGCTGGGGAAAAAGTTGAGAGAAAGAAAATAAAGGGCACTAGAAGCAGTCCAGACACTGTAATTTACTTTGTGCTGATGGCAACGTCGGGATATAAAGAACGTGAAATTTATAATGTTAAGTTTGGAAGTGCACCCTCTCCTCGCTGTACCTTTTCCACTCCTGCAGCCGTCCATGTCTGACCAGTGACAAATGGAGGCCTTTCCACTTCAATTAAGGTTTTGGGGGCTAACGCTAAGCCAGGCGGCGCGGGAAAAATCACACTGTCACTCATGAAGAACAGGAGGGCCCGAAAAGTCAACACGGCCGGCGCACGTGAGCCCGAGAGCGAGCGAGCGCGTGTGTGTGCGGAAGCCGCAATTGACGTAAATGACAGTTTCCCGCCCGCCGGAACGTTCAGGTTTGCCATCCCGGGCAATACATCACACCTCACCGCAAATCCACCGCGCGCGGCATCGGCGAGGCCAGAGTTTTCGTCTTTCTGGGGCCTTCACTCACACACGCGCACACACACGCACACGGGGGGATTACTTGGATGAAGCACAGAGACGGGGTATAAATCCTGGAATGAGAGCAGCACTTCCATGTATTTGAATTTACTGCTTTGTGAACAGCTTGGCACTATAAATACAAGGGGAGAATTAGCATTTTCGAAATAAAAGTCATCTAAAGGAGACTTACGGTGCTTTGTTTGGGTTGAACTCAAAATGAAAGTTCACCTTCAAGTCTGCATATTTGGAGAGAAAAACTATACTTACCGGCACAAAATGAGCAAACGTTTTCCCTATAAGTCTGACTAAGACCGGAATAAGTTATACTAATTAAAAAAAAAAAGAACGGAATAGTGGAGAACAGAAAGGACTGAGTTAATTCACTTGGAATTCACACCTGGGAGCAACTGAGGCAAAGTGGACTGCACTACTGGCTGTGACCTGCAGAGGTGCTACTGAGTAAGTCTCAACTTGTTTGATTTCTGACCAAAAATGTCGATGCAGTTTGTGACATTTTTTGTGGATTTTTTTTTTTAACATTAACGTGATTTCTGTTAAATGGAAAAAATGAAAAGCTATTTTAAAAATCTGTGCACTCTTATTTTTTTCAGTTAAATTATTAGTTTAGTTTAAAAGCATATTTTGAAAAATTCTCAAAATGTATTTCAAAAAATTATGTAAAAAAATATATCAATATTTTGAACTAAAAAAAGCTAACTAAAATTATCAATATAAAACGGTTTTATACAAATATTTCTTTTGAAAGTGAAAACAAATTGACTGGGGAAAATTGTTACAAAGGAGATTCATCTATTTACTGTGTATATATAGTGAGAGAGAGAGAGAGAGAGAGAGAGAGAGAGAGAGAGAGAGAGAGAGAGAGAGAGAGAGAGATGAAACATTTTTATTTCAAACTAAAAAGAGCTCTGATAAAACAAATCTTGAAAAACTTATTCTTTTAAATTTACATCTCTCAATACTCATTTTAAGTGTATATTTTAAAATCGATCTTGGAAAATTGATTTTCTAAAAAAAACAATGTATTTCTTTCAAATAAATAAGTAGATGAATAATAAAAAAATGTATTGAAGAAAAGGACTTGCTTTTGCCCCCACCAACTTTTATGCCGTTTGCCTGTAACATGCTGTTCATTGTAGCTTTGCGTTTCCAACCCAAATTGGCTTTTAGGCTGGAAATCCACAAACATGTCGCAGCTGCGGCGGTTCCCCCAGATTTATTTGAATGACGTAATCACATCCTGTCAAGTTGAAGTTGCCATGTGTAATACAAAGTATCTTGTCTCCTGGCAACTTTTCAAAGCGACTAACCGAGGTGAGAAGTTCACCATCGCAGTGGTGGTATTTCCTCTCCCCACCCCTTCCAACATGCATACATGGACAGTATATCACCATGTGCGTACGCGCGCACGCACACGCACACGCACACGCACACACACACACACACACGCGCACGCCTGTGATCTAAAATGATTGCAGACGCACAATCAAAAGCAGCACCAAAAATATGTAAGCAGCTCTCATGTTTGCCTCAAACATCTTCACTCTCAGGATTGAGGCTAAAAGAAATAGAGTTCCCGAGTGGAAGGTAAGATGGATGGAGAGCTGAAGGGAGGAAGAGCACCTTCAGGATGAAGCGCAGGGAGGACGCGTGGCAGTCTGACCTGAGCGTACACTCCCATCTCCCCATATTCTCCAACCAAACAGAAAATGCATTCCGTCACGCGATCAGACATTCGACACACCGACCGGAGGAATAGCGCGAGAAGCCGGCGAGCTTGATCGAGTTTAAAAATGGGTACTCACAGTCGGCCCAGTTTAGGATTGGACTGGAAGAGAAGTTCCGGGAGCAGCGCGAGCCTGTTCCTGTTTAGTCGGCTGTGGAGAGAAATGGAAGAAGATGAACAAATTGAATAATGAATAAACTTGACAAAATGGTGAAATCAATTCAATGGAAACGCAAATAAATCATTGGGCTTCCTGCTTGGCGTGGTTGCAAGGTCAGCCTGGCTGCTTTCCTCTGACAATAACTCACAGGTTACCGTGTGTGTCCATGCATAAGTTATGACGGTATTTATACGTGATCACATTTATACTTCCCAATTTCTACTTATTGTTCAAATATGAAGGTTGTTGGTTGTTGGTTTTGATTTTCTCTTTGGGGTGTGATTCCGTGCATGGCGACGCATGTGCCCCAACAAAGGGCATTATCGGGAGGAGTTGAGTGAACAGGGGAGGCATGAGGTTTTCTTTGGACGGTCTACGTATTTGTGCTATCGTGTTTTGTTTTGAGAATTGAATTTTTTTAAACGGTTTTATTTGGATTGTTCTTGGCAAAATTAAAATGTTTCCAGACGTCAAGCGTGATCGGACATTTGTTTTGTGCTATGACACGCGTTCCAAGAGTTTGAGCTCAATCTACCCTCAAAAGTAAATATAGTTATTGGAAAGACTATCACTGTATAACTTGTTTGCATTACCATTTTAAGTTATACTTCTTCCTACTCCTTTTCGAACATGTACGGTATGTATAAGTGGGTAAATTATTACCGATGATTGAGTTTGCCACTGTTTTTACTTTCTTTTACTGTCTTTTTTGTTGCTTCCATCCAACAATTTGTTTGTGTGTATTGTATTTTTTCTTTTCCCATATGTGTACTGACAGCAAAATATGCATTCAGTTTATATCCATTCAAAATGAACACACACACACAAACACCAAGAAAAAAATAAATAAACAAACATTGGGACATTGACAAGTCTCATTGTTTTGTTTCTAACCACCACCAACACAATGGATTTAAAATGAGATGTACAAGATGTGAGGTAACTGCGTGACTATGACTTTCAGATTTAATTTGAGGCTATTTACATTCAAATCTTTTCCTCACACTGGTTAATGGAACAAATTAAGAATTATGCAATTTCTTTTGCCTTGGAAAACTCTTTGGTTGCCTCCCCTTTGGGTCATTTTCCCTCTGCACTGGGAAGTGCAGTCATAAAACCCCTATTCAGGTCTCTGCAATTAGCCTACAAAAAAAAATTGCTCCTCCAAATTACAAAGTTGCTCATCAAAGAAAGTCAGTGAGTAAAACTACTCTGCAAAGAAAAAGACGATTTTAAGACTTGATATTTGAAATGTATCTTGCAGTACTATATTTGAAAAACCTCACAACACACACGAGAAGTTCAACATTCTCAGACAGGATGTTCAAACCTGTCAAGCTGCGTTAAAACTGCAACCGTGTCGGCATCAAAGGCCAGCACTGTTTACAAACAGCAGCTCCTCAGTCTTGTCGACTAGGAGATTGGAGTACAGAGTCTTATCTAGACACCAAAGCGTTTGGCGGAGGAAGGAGGCGCGAGGATGTCAAAGGGCACAAGGTCACCAAGTAGACTGCGCTAGAGAAGACACAGACAGTGCCCTTTGAACCTGTGTCAACTTGATAACAAGAGCCGAGCTTTCACACCCACCTTGGGGGAGTTGGAGCCCAATCGGGGTTGTCAACGTTTTTAGGTCAAGCGGATGATTATTATTGTTATTATTATTATTCTATATATTTTTTATGCTACAATGATTTACTGCATGTGTGTTACAACTCCATTAGGCACACGGCGACTTTTTAGGCCGCTGCCGTGCCTCTGTGATGTTCGTGACTCATGTTACTTTCACGTACGGACAAAGACGGACGGAGGCGCTCGCCTGTAGTGAAGACAAGGTAGCATTTTTTGCCCCATGCCGCAACCGCCATAAATCACCCGTTCTCGCCATGACGTCACCTTTCACCCCCGCCGGGTGTCACATCAGCGTGGCTGCCGGCGAGGTGTTTTGATCACCGTTTTGAGGAGATTTCACTATTGGGTACGGAAAGGATTTATCTCAAGCATGGTGGCTCGTCACATAAAATGTTGTATTATTGCTGCTACAATTTTACATTCGTATACTAAATGTTTACATAGTATTCTTCTATCATAGTCAAAACACTTGAACTAAAGTTTTGCTACGTGCAATGCTACTGACTATCCTTGCTTTTGTTCACATCAGCATATACAGTACAGTATGAATACGATATTATTCATACCATATTATTCTAGGTTATATTTATATTATGAATGTACATTATAGGTGTCATTACATAGCTGATATTTTTTTTTGCTATATTGCTATTGAATATTCTTGTTGCTGTTCAGATTTGCATTCATCATATGCATAGTCATCGAGTACAGATACCAGGTACCGGAATCGAGCCGATACTGGCCTTATTACAATGCATCGGTTACTCGAAACGTCGGTCGATACCAGGCACCAATCCCAAACCGTCTTGTGTCTATGAAGTGCTGTAAATGGCACGCATAGCAGACAGAAAGCTTTTTTTAGGGAACTCTGTATCCATGTCAATCCTCGCATATGCCCGTAATTGTGCTTATGTTAATGCTTAGAGTGCATTATTCTGTATTGCTACCAAAATGTATGTTTGTTTATTTGCTAACTCAATTTGGGTGGTATGAAGACTTTCTCCAGCATGATATTTCATGTATGTACTTATTTTACACGGTCAACTGTTTTTATCGACTGAGAATGTTAGTATTATTATTTTTCTAGTTGATTGCAGTTCAGGCAACATAGCCCTTTTACTCGGAACATCAGCCCCTATATTTTGTATTATGGATGGTATTTTTCCTCTGGATAGTTGGATTTGATTATATTTGATCCATTTAATATTTTGCTTCTTTTAATACGTATAAAAACATCTATATCTATCAATATCGGCTGATAAGAAATACGAACATTGTGATAAAAATGTCAGCCATATCGCCTATCGCTGTTTTCCATATTTCACGGTTTACAGTTGAATCTGTATTATTATACTCGTCAGTTTGTTTGGAACAAAGATGAAAACTCAGGGGGGTTGTCAGTTCTATTTTAGTTTATTAGAAATTAATCCGAAATTCGGAGTTAGCTGTTTGTTTTAGGTTGGACTCAAATTTGCTTTTACAGTGGAGGAAAGGAACCGAAACAAAATGACTCTCTTTAAAATTAGCTGCCATTGGTTCAATAGAAATTATATGAATCAAAAGTACGAGTTGTATCAGTTACACGGCTATCGGTGAGGACTCGTACTGGTATCGGTCTGAAAAAAAATTGGAATCGAACATCCCTCGTGCATAGTATTCTATTCTGTCCATATATTATGCTGCATCTTCTTCTTACTGCTGTAGAATCAAGACTTTCCCCACATTACGGGGCTTACAAAGGCTTATTCTAGGTGTTTCTCTTCATATGTTGACAGTTTCAAGACTTGGAAAATAAATGTTGCTATTTCCAAATGAAAAAGTATGCTTCAAGTCAACCGCTTTGAACCTCCCCTCCCCTCTCCTGCTCCACATGGCCCCCTTTGGCGTCTTCCTTCCATGAACTCTGACCCTGACCTGACCTAGCACATTAGGGGAGTTTTTTTGTTTTTTTTTTAAGGGAAACTCACCTCCAGCTCCCCCACATAAACACTATCACGATGTGCCATCTCCACCCGACTACACGTTGCTACCACTCCACTGACATGCAGTAACAACATTTTTCCCCTCCTCGGCTCTGTAGATTACAAGGAGATGTCAATCAAATGCTCTACTGTTTGTCGTTGTCACTTCCTCATTGGTATATGGTCCAATATGGTGTTTTTTTAGGTGTGCTCGACTCAGAAGAGAACACTTCTTCATCGTCAACGAACCAAATGCAGCAGGGAGGCTATTTTTAAACTCCCTCTGACTCAGACGCAAATTTTAAATCCTAGCCTGTAAATGGGGTCAATGAGCTAAGCTAACCAATTAGCCCAGTGCATGTGTTTTTAGAACATTGCTGAGAAAAAAAAAAAGAGCTGGCCGCAATTAGTTATTTTTCCAAGGCAGCAAGTAGTTTTCTTTCAAAATAAGGTCACCGAGGTAGAGAAATGGAAAGGTTTGGCAGATCAAAGTGAATTTTGTTATTGCAATACAGTGTAGCCTTTTTTGAATTGGGTAGGGTAGCGGGGTCGTTCCCGAGCGCACGAAGCAAAATTTTATTTTAATTACAACTAATGTCTTATCAGTTTATGCTTGAATTGCAATAAATGTCTCCCTTTAGCCCATTTTCGAAATACCTGCACATAGACCAAAACAGAATTATCAACGTCATTCATTGCCTTGCAGCGAGTGTCATCCTGTCAACTCAAACGTGTGTGTGTGTGTGCGCGCGCACGCATATTTTGGAAAAGACAGAGCCAACCTGGCTCAAGGCTCAGTGTGAACGAACGCATGCATACGGGCTCGTGCACACATGGATGCAGATGATAGATTTTTTTTGTTTAAAAAAAAAAAATTGGAAAAAAATTGTTAGTTAAAATGTAACCATGTTTCAAAATAGATTTTATTTCTAATCCACATTTGTAGACAAATCTCAAAGTAACTGAGTAACATAAATAATTTTCATGTTTAATTGTAGTATTCACATTTGATTTTAATCAGACAATTGTTTAATAAATTAAAACTATGAAATGGCCGGCCTATTATCCCCTTCTTCAAATAAGTCATATTTTGAAAATATTTTTATGGGGGGGGGGGGGCGTTAATCATCTCATCATGATGCGGTCCACTTGTGGTAAGATTGACTACGTCCTTCATTTTAACGATCATTCAATTCTAGCCCTGAAATGAAAGTACTAATAAATATAATCATTATTTGGTTCAGTTTTTCACATTTTCAAAAAAATAAAAACTGAAAAAATGACTGAGGCCATTATGTTACCAAGGTGATGATATGTAAAATGGTATTACGATATATTCTTTGGAATAAAATTCAAAATTACATATATTTTTCAAACAGCAAAATTAACGCAATAAATGTGTATTGCAGGATTCTTGATAACGTAAATGCTTGGCGGAACGTAATATTTGTGGGTTAACATTCACAAATTCACCTATTAGCTGATTTTTTATTTTTATTTTTTTGAGGGATAACCTGTCTTCCATTTTTCATGGGAAAATTTGCCGATTTGCGATTTTCTAAAATAAATACAAAGGCCTGAAGTTTTCTTTCTCGCTTGTTTCCCTCCGAAGCCCAGACTCGCACATCCAATCACAAAGCTAACAAGCAGCCATGTTGGATTTGAAATTGACAGTCTGCTTTGAGTGAGCAAGTAAGATGACTTTGCGCATGCCGGCTGTGGCTGCATTGGCTCAACCGCAACAAACTTCATCTGAGCGTCGGCACCATCGGAGTAACTTTATAAAGGCAGGAGGTCTACTGTACTGAGTATGAGTGAGATTGGGCTCCTTACAGTCTCTCCAGCAATCGCAGGTCTTGGAAGGCTCCTCTCTCGACGACACTGATTTGGTTGTCCTCCAGGTGACTGTAGTAACACAAAGTGAACAACACAAAACATTGGTGAGCTTCAGCGCAAGCAAACACAAACCCCCCTCCCAAAAAAACAAGGGAAGGTATCAAATGAAGAATGATCTTGCATCTCCATTACAAGTGATTAATTCAATTTATTCCCACTAAGTAGTTTGGAAGGATTTCATTCATTGACAGATGTTTTCAGCTGACCCGAGAAAGAGAGAGACAGGTTGAATATCCTCCTCCCGCCAACACAAATAGAAAAGTCGACCCGGTGCCAGATGGAAAAGGAGACGTTTCCAAGGAGGCAATTGCACTTTTAGGACCAAAGAATGCTTGGGAAAACAAAAATAAGACATCACGGTGATTGAAAAATGAATCTGACATGACGCAAAGGTCGACGGTGTTCAATGTCACAACGCGGCGAGCCAAAACAAGCAAATATCAGCTCATCCCGCTTCTCTGTCCTATCCTCTTTCGTCACTCCACCGCCCCATCTTTGATCCATCTTTCAACCCAATTGCTGTTAGCGTGTAGTCCCGTCATTTTTTCATCAGGAACGATTACGCAGTCTCCACCAATACTGTGCATTCCGAGGACCCTTGGACAAACACCAATCACTTTCCAATTTAATTTCATCAGAATCATTTACGGTACTGTCTTCATCAGTCCGCCGTGTGTTTAAAGAAAGTGTGCAGCTGGATTCTGTCCGAAGCGGAAAGACATTCGTATGTAGCATCAACCCTCACTGTGAGTTCATTTAATTAGGACTCGTTTGGATTGGCGATACAGCGGGGCCTCCAGTTCTGTAATCTGGAGTTCAACCTGAATGTTCTGTTTTCAAATAAATAAATTAATTTAAAAAGCATCAAAATTCAAACAACTTGGCGGTGAGGCGGCTCGCCGAGACGACAAGTTCGGGATGGTATCGCCATCAGCTGCTGTGCCCTGCTTCCACCAGCGGTATGGCTGTGAATGCAGAGGTGCTAGTTTACAAACGCGACAACCTCAACATTTTCCAGCTGGTCTAGCGACTATTTTTTTATTTTATTTTATTTTTAAAGTGACCTGCGACGAATGTGTTTCAAAATGTTTTCTTTTTGACAAAAGGAGGCCAAGCAATTGCTGTTTCAGTCACGCTGAGCACATTTCAAAGGTGCCATTTGATAGATTAGCCACATGACCTGAGGTATATAGTCGCTATGAAAAGTCTGCACACCCTTGTTCAAATGCTCAGTTAAAAAATGAGACCACGGCAAATAATTTCTGAATTCTTGACACCAATTACACAGGACAGCAGCAAACGTTACTCAAAGATGGCTGAGAGTGTCCCTGCACTTATTTTTGGAAAAAAAAATCTAATTTTTTTTCTAGGACATACATTTCTAAAATAATACTTTCAGATTTGTTTTTTGAAGTTTGACCGACGCAAACTTTACACAGTGCTATGACGTTTCAAAAATTTCAGCGTAAAAAAAGAATCGTGAAAAGTTTACTTGTATCACTGATTTTAAAAAATCTGTAAAAAAGAATTAAAAAAAAAAAAAAATTAGCAATACGTGATGAAAAAGAAAACTGAAGTATGAGGGCCTTCAGAAGCCTCCTGGAACACCAGAACTTTGTTTGGGATTTTCAGAGGCACTCTTAAGAGGTGTCTGGTGTGTGCTACCTACTCACATTTAACATGAGTTTGAATGTCATGGTTAATTCTGAAATATATAAATTCCAATTATCTCAAAAATTCCACACACAAATTGTGAGCAACGTTTCATCAAAGAAATGCGGTGATGTCACGCTCCGGAACTCTTAGACCCAAATAAAGGAATTTCATTAACACTTCAGGGGAAATTCAGCTTGTTTCATGAAATGGGTTCAATGTGAAGCACACGTTTTCACCTACAAACTGAACGCACTTTGGAATGAGTCATTTCCACCACAATCTGGAGCAAAGCTGTGGGCTGCGAGGGTCCCGCATGCTTGACACACAGCCAAGATTCTTTTTGTCTATTCAAATTGTTTGTAATCATTCTTCAGGTCTTTGCGGTTGGCCGCGCGTCGAATTTTTGCATGGCACACAAACTGACAATGAGTTTAATGATGCCGCTTGGCTATGAAGTGCTGCCTCCACGAGTGAAAATACAATCCATTCTTTTAGACTGTTTTTTCCGGATGCTCACTTTAAAATGTGGGCTGCCTCTTCCGCAACTTGCCTCCTCTCAACTCCTTAGCTCAGCCAATGGCCGTCAAGCTAAACAAAAGCATACGTCAAAGGTTTTCTGACATTGTGAATTATGTCGCGTCTATTTAAACAGTTCAAGATGGTGGATATCAGAAGTATCTGGTAGGAGGAGAGATTGCATGTTATTCCAGAATTCTGCAATATTTACACACATTTTGTGCCAACGCGTTTTGACTTTGTGGATTATTTTGATTTCTATTAGGTCTGCATATGTCAACATGTCAACACAAAAGATTGATTGCGGAGGAGAGTTTTAATACATTTTTAAACGTGCTATCAGGTCATAATACAACAGCATTCCTGCAAGTTTTCTGACATTGTAGATTATTTAAAATGGCAGTTGTTATTCAGAACTGGTAGGAGAAACAATCACGTGAATTATATGCTTGGTGTGCGCTCTCTCAACACAGTATTGTGTAACGTTTGCTGAAATTTACTATGATTATTTCGAGTCAAATATTCGACAGGTCGATTTAGCACTGGTGTGTTTGGACATTGCGGATTATTTTGACACTGCTTCACTGCAATTTACTTGACAATGTGGATGATTTCGAGTCATTGTGCTTAGAGTGCGAGGTGCCTTTGATCATGTAAGAGTAACTGATAGCAAGAGCCATCACAAGAATTATGTAATGCGTTGACTTTGAGGTTTAGATTTTGTAGATTATTTTAGCAACTGGTGGGGCAGGCGAGTGCTTCTCAAAAACCCTTCCAAAAAAAAAAAAAAACAGTGCACTCAAGGATTCTGGTATTCTAGTCAGGGACGAAACGTGATGAAATATCTGCCATCAACAGACATTATTGGTGGTAGTGATTACACAATGATTACATTCAATGGTTACATTACATGGAGTGTGTGTATTCGAGCTAGTACTTGCTAATCTGTGTGTGTGTGTGTGTGTGTGTGTGTGTGTGTGTGTGTATTCGAACTAGTACTTTTCTCAGACTATCTTCACTTCCACAAACCATCTCCTGGCCAATTTGCAGAGATTTACAGTGGGGAAATGTCACAGCAGTTTCTCACCAACCACATGAAACAAACCGCCAAGCCATCACTCTCTCTCTCACACACACACGCACACACACACACACACACACACACACACACACACACACACACACACACACACACACACACACACACACACACACATTGAGTCCCTGCGATCGTTGCAGATATGCAGGGGTGTACGAAAATGGCTCGCACTCTCGCACAGAAGTTTTCACACTGGCCGACGTGAGCACCAAAAGCCGCAGTGGTCAACAAATGTGCTTACAAATGAAAACACACACATGCATCGACTTATTTCCACTTCCCACCCCAGCTTGTGCAGCGGGTGTATTTTTATCTGCCAGCCTGTGGAGTGCGCCTATGTGATTATAGTTATTATGGGCCATCTCACACACACACACACACACACACACACACACACACACACACACACACACACACACACACACACACACACACAGACACGCACACGCATGCGCACACATCTAATAGGGTATAACGACCTCCTTGTACACAACATATGTCCTTGAAAGAAAAAAGGATGGCAAGGGTTAAGATAGGACACTTAAAACAGACACAGGTCACATATATTTAAATTTACACTACAGTCATTGTCACACAGGACACACATTGAAAGAAGAAAATTCAAGAATTAAATCACTTTTTGGACAAGTACAACCAGAGGAGGCCTCATTTAAATTAGGGCCGTACAACATATTGAAAAGAATATTGTCATTGTGAAAATGGCACATGATGTGCAGAATGCAAAAAAGATGCAATGAATTCATATGGAATGGTATACTTCAATTTCACTTTGACCAATCACATACAACCACAATTCAAATCACCATCCAATAGTTTCCAGGGGCCATTATTTAAGATAAGATATCCTTTATTGGTCCCACACTGGGGAAATTTACAGTCTACATCAGCAAGATTGTGGGTAGAAAGAAGATTTACATTCAAGAACTTAATTAGATCAGAATACATTCATATTTTTTGAGTATAATTTCTGTATCTCAAGGCCGGGATGAGTGACCTTTTTTTAGAGATCAAAATATGGTCACCCGAGCATAGCATAGCATAGCATAGCATAGCATAGCTATCCCTCCCTCCAGATCACCATCTGGAGGGAGGGACCCGTCTCCAAAGAAAAGCCCATTAAGTAAAGATTTGCTCCATTAGGATGTTTTAATCTGGATTATTCTTGAAAACAAACTAAATAAGTAATACCATGTGAAGCATTTTTGTGGGAATGTGTTGTGTTTTCCTCACATAGCCCACTTGAACTGCCCGCTTAGATTTGATTACATCTGCATTTTTATTCAACAACAAACTCACAGAATTCGAAGGTTCTTGAGGCCAGAAAAGTCCACCTTGGTGACCCGCGTGATGTTGTTTCTGTTTAGGTCCCTGCAGGGCAAAAAAACAAGAAGAAAAAATAAAATCATTAAACAACAAACCTCAAAAGCACATTGAAAACACCAAAATTAAAGGTTGATCAGGTTCACCGAGCACCAACAAACAGTATGCATTTTAAAAAATGTAGCCCGACGGAGCGTGAGAATGCCCGGCGGCGTTGGCGCCCACACACATGCATACCATCACAAGTGCAAACGAACCTCAACCCTAACCCGAAGGTGTGCATTGCACAAAAAAAAGGAAATAAAAGACTTTTTTTGCTGCACAATTTAAAAGCTGCTCATGTTTCCTGCCTGTCATTCAATCACATTACGATGTATACATCGTGTAGAATGAAGTGCGTGCTTGTGTGTTGACTGGTCCCCTTTCTACGTCCAACTGTTTACTGAAACGCTGTCGCACAGAAGGAATTAGGCCACGACGCAGACAACAAAACGCAATTTTCCCTCTTGTTTCACACACATACACACACACTCATGTATATATCAGCGCGTAAACAGTCTGGCTTTGGCCGAGACAGCACCCATATGCGTGTTTTTCATAACACACCTAAACATTTATAAATCTGATTTAAGCTCCATATTATGTTTCAAGGGGACTAATAGGAGCCATATTGCTGCCTCAAACACGGTCCGCTGGTCTAAAGTAGGGACCGGGGGGGGCTCCTCCGTGGGCTTGCGGTACAAATGTACCCACTCGAAGTAGACGGAAAACAATGGGAGGTAGAGAAGAGGATTGGACCAACCACGGCTTTTATTGATCCAAGCCACATATTTTTTATTAGAAAAATGTTCCAACGCCACACAAAAGTGCCACAAAAGGGATCTACAATGATGCCTTCAGTTTGATTTATTTTGTGACTTAGGGAGCAATGTACAGGAATAGCCAAACATACACGAAGAAGAGCTTCACAACTACTGTCAGTAACTATGTAAGCTGCAGTAATATTTATCGCTCTTCACAGTGGATAAAGAATATTTACCTCGAAGTATTGCCACATTTTCTGTTGATGTACTGTTTTTGTTCAGCATCTTTTGTATGTTGCTTGAAGCGTCATATAATACTGCCACATACATTGATGCTATCTGTTAGCCAGCCAGCGGCCTTTTGCATTAGTTAAGATTGAGCGTGGTTTGGTTTAATACAACGTGTAATTCGTTCTGTTTCATATTAACTTGGACAATCAATTTCATCTGGGAGTTGCATTAAGCAACTCAAAGCCACTTTTACCAAACTGCTCGAGTTGAGTTCACTGCCCCCACACAGCATCTAAAATGTGTGCTCCAAGTAAAAAAAAAAAACAAAAAACAACAACAAATAAGAACGGGTCACTTGAATCTGAAGGCACTACTTGACACATAATCACGATCCCTTGTAATGTGGCAAAACTTTAATTGTATCTTGTGCCATCAAGTGGAAGAGCATTTAACTTTCTGCTTGTCACTATACATCGCTGGCATAGAAAGATGAAGAAAGACATTTTTTGTAGGAAATAAATAATCATTTCAGACTAATTTAAAGAAACTGGAAGGGCATTTTTAAATAGTATTCCATGGCAAAAAAATGGAAATAAATAGAATAAATGAACAATACATGAATGTAACTGACACGGTAATTACATTGCTCATGTATATTTTTACTACAAATTTCAGTACAGATGAAATTATAAATATGGTTACGTACATTTGTAAAATTATGTGTACTGTATAAACTGGTTTCTAATGCACGTCGGCACGTGATGGTTAGCTGTGTCCCACTCAGAATTGATTTTGCACCTGTTTGAAAGCTGCCGTGCATTTTGATCGGTTATAATTTGCAAAGCGCGATTCAAATTTGGAAGTGCCGCAAAAATCTTGACATCTTGTGGCACAACCCCCCCCACACACTACACCTGCGCGCAATGGACTTACTACGCATCGCTCAGTGTGCGGCGGTCCTAATGTGCCGCAAAGCACTGGTTCGAAATCACTGGTACAGACAGTGATGGAAATCTGGAAAGAATCATAGAAAGGAGGAGGAGGAGGTTGAAGGTGAGACCCGGGGAGCATGGTGCCTCTGAAAAGGTCAAATGTGGTGAAGCCCAAAGTATGACATCAACACCGCAGGAGGGAACTTTCAACACACACACCCCCCCCAAGAAACATTTGTCTTCGCTGTTTGGTACAAGGTGATAACAAAAACATACTGGTGAATACAACTGCTTCAAATTGTGCAGAATAATATCTTCTTTGAATTAAAACTCAACACAATCAAGGTTAACCTCCAATTTTCGCTTCCATGATTTTATTTTTTGTCTCTTAAGTCACCTCTCTTTCGCATGCCTTATCTTTCACTCTTCCTCAGTCGACTGAACACTGTCTCTAATCTGCTATGTGTTCTTTCTAATCTCTCCTCTTTTATCCCAATCTTTCCTTCTTTTTACAGTTGGCTACATCTCTCTCTCGCTCTCTCTCTCTCCCTCCCCCTCTCTCTCGCTCTCTCTCTCTCATCTTTCGCCATCACTCCATCCTTATCTCAATCTCGCTCGCTGTGGAAACTTGTGCTCGGCTGCCACGCCGCTTTGAAATAAACACAAGAGGCCAGGTGGGAAGCTGCTTAATAAATGGCGGAAAAACTGGATCCGGTTTAGAATCTGAGGAGTTTTTTTTTTTTTTAATTAGCATCTATTTTTTATTTCGGATGAAGTGAGATAAGGAAATTACAGTGTAGCTGCCATGTGCTTGTGACCCGCCCTGCAGTAAAGCTTCACTCTCACTTTAACTGACCAGCTGGCAGGCTGACAGCACTAACAACTACTTGTTCACATTCATGTGTGCGTTGGTGTGTATGTGTGCGTTTATAACAAGAGGCGGGAGTCACACAGCAGGTGTTACCGGGAAGAACAAACTTCACCACCCAAACACAAGTTGAGTGGTGCACACATGGAAAATGTTGGGGAAGGAAGGAATGCTTGACAAATGGCAGCACAGGTGACAAGGTCTTCCAAAAGATAGTGGTATAAATATTTTGTGACTTTACACAAGGAGATGTTTCAGGTTTCTCTACAATAGTAGCTATTTTTCTGATGACTTCGAGATCTGTGTACTTAGGAATTCTTATTTCAGCAAAATAGGCTGGTTAGTTTTTCGAACCACCATGGATGACCACGACGCTATTTAAAAAAAAAAAAAAAAAAAAAGGACTTAGTCAACTGTCAATGATGTACCAGTACAGAGAAACAAAAACATTCCCTATGACCATATTTAAGAAGTAATTTTGATGAATATGTCTTCCAGCTTCTATCATTCAAAATTTCAGTCTCATTTGAAAAAACACATACAAGATGTATTTTTTTTTCCAGTTGTTGTCATTCGCTAATTTAGCCTTTTTAAAAAAGAAATTTGTCAGCGCATGTTAACATAGCTATGGGAGGCTGTCTTGATACTGTGTGTCAGAATTTTTCATTTTTATTTTTCTCCATACAAGCACATAATTGGGAAACTATTTTGTAAGTTTTTTGTTTTGTTTTGTTTTGTTTTGTTTTGTTACATGATGTCAAATCATTAAGTGGTACAAGTGATGGCATAGTGGTACACTCGCCTGACTTTTTTCCAAGCAGCATGGGATCTTTTCCCACTCAGTGACGCTGTGGCTGTGGGTGTGAATGGTTGTTTGTCTCTATATGTGCCTTGCGACTGACTGGCGACCAGTTCAGAGTGTAGTCTGCCTTCCACCCAAAGTCAACTGAGATAAGCTCCACCACCCCCCGCGACCCTGTTCAGGATAAGCGGTGTTGAAAATGGATGGAAGGATGGTTTTGTTTTGTGTATAACTTATGGTAACAAAAGTTTTTACGCTTTACTTTTGTCCAATGTTGATCTCGGTTGAGTTAGATTAGGATTTTTCATTAATCAGTTCGTAACGTTAGCAAGGCTTGGCCAACACATTTTTTTAGAGCACAGCCCAACCAATGCTAGCTAGCTAGCTCTTAAGCTCTACATTTTCAGTGTCCGCACTTTTTTTGTCTTTAACTTGAGTTGAATCAGTACTTCTACTTTGACTCGAATTTTTTTACATAAGTATCTCTACTTGTGTTTTAGTATCGAGCGTAAGTAGTTTTGCCACCTCTGTAGGGATGAGGCTGAAAGAGGAATCCTGACTTCAAATGCTCTTTGGCTCTTCATCCCTCTCATCTACAACATGTCTTGTTTGCCTTTTCTTGACCTTTGAGCTTCTTCACTTCCTCTCTGTCTGGGACAAGTTTCCTCTCTCGGATATTTCACTCTTCCTAGGAGTGCAAAAATGTAGCAAAAAAAACGGGGTTCTGGACTTCCTGCGCTAATCTCTTGTTAGTTTTTCCACAAAGTGCTTTTGATCGCTCCTCCTTTTCTTGCTCTCAGATAGGTATGCTCAATTTCGCCCTGGACAACTTTCAGCCACGCAAAGGAATCCTAATTGCCCATTTCCTACCCCCATGCCTCCCCCAGCCCCTCGACCAGTTCTCCGACATGTCCATCACCGGAGGAAGGAGAAGAAAGGGCTGACGTCGGGCATAAAAGTTCAACTGGTGGGTTATGTGATGTAACATTAGCTGCTCACGCTAATGACTGGTATGGTAAAGTGGCCATGAAAGGAGAAGACCTTGACACACGACGTCCCTAAAACTTTAGAAAAAAAAAAAAGAAAAAAAAAAGTCCTACTGGAGGTACGAAAAGGTCACAGAATTCATCTTGTGTTTTGTGTAAATCACATTGCATCATAATTTAAGTGAAGCGCATTGCAACTTAATGCAGGTGAATTTTGATCAGAATGAGTGAATCACAATCCGTTGTCACTGAAGGGAACACATTGCATGACTGGGGTAAATCGCATGGGATCATAATTGGAGTGGATCGAATCATATTGCATTCCAACTTATTGTATCGTCATTGAAGTAGAACACACTCTTCTATTTTTTCAGTGGAGTGAATCCCATTGTAATTTGAATTTATTTCATTGTATTACAAACAGAG